CCTGCGTACAGCGAGAGCTCAGGGAAACCTTGCCTGACCTTGAGCTTGTTGGATGGCTTGGACTGCATCTCACACACTCTGCAGCCAGAGTGACCAATGGTCATTCTGGCTGGGGATGATAGCAGTTGTAGTGCAAGGGTGTGGTGCAGAGGTTAGAGTGTTGGACTTGGGGGGACAAGGTTTCAAGGCCTCAGTCTGCCATGAAGAATATAGAACTGTTTAGGGGAAGTACTACCAGATCCAAGCCATCATCAGCAACACCAAGGAAGGTATTGTAGAAAAGAAGTCTCCCTTCAGAAGATGGTAGCCCTGCCCAAATCTTGATCATAAACTTGCAAACCTGTGATTCTAGCAGACAATAAGAGCTGCAAACCAGTGTTTTGAGGAGCATATTGCTACCAACATCAATCAATGAAGAATTCTTGCATATATCAGAAGCAGCTAGGAATTAGAGTTAAAGGAGTACTAAAGGAGATCTCTGAGAAGCTGCTGGGGCTGAACAGATGCTTTCAGGAAGAGAAAACATCTTGAGAGCAACAGACGAAGCTCTCAACCTAGCAAGGTGTAGAAGTTTCATGTGTCAAGCCAGATCACTGCTCTTTTAAAATCCATTCCACTCTTCCTTGGAGGAGTGAGATTTCAGCAAGCATCGGGGTACTTAGACTGGGCTAAAGCCTTTCAGCTGGTCAAAAAGTCTTGGAGCTCTCCGTGGTGCTGAAGGACTTGTTGAGCTGCCTTCTGCATTGTCCTGGATGTTTCTGGCTCTGTGTTCTGTTCCCGGACGAAGCTCCTGCTGCTCAGGTGCCACGCATTTCTAGCCAGATAGCAAACAGCAGCTGTGCGATTCCCATTCTGTTCTGGGATGGGCCGCTGGCTTGAAAGGCTCCCCTCTTTCAAGTTAGCCTTGGCTGGTGAATCTGGACTTGAACCCATTGCCATATGGACGAAAGCTTTGCTTCTTCTCTTCATTGCAAAGCCATCTGCTGCTCTCCTCACACTCATCTGCTTGTGGCTTGTTTTCTTTTATGGCAACACTCACCAAAACTGCTCTGTTTATCTGATTTTGGAACCCAGGCATCCATCCATCCATCATTAGGACATGCCAGCTCCCAGAGCCCATGGAAAGAAACTCAGAATAAAATTCTGGGACCAGGAGGGGTTTCCTCTTGTACAAGACCACTGTTATAAATGATACCTCACCTTTGGACTTGGGGATTGGGGTCGGGGAGATGGGTTTGCATTTTAATTCAAACTGACTCAATCCAGGAACTGGAATGCAGCAATGTTTGGGAGTTGCACCTCTCCAAATTCTGCAATGCAGTTCTTTGTTCAAAAAAGAAAAAGAAACAAAACATATACCAGGGTAAATAGCAAGCAAAAATGCACATATTAATAGAAATTGCTTGCAAAATTGCACACAGATTTTGGTACATGTGAATATGCACGCAGAAATGTGCATAAATGTTTGTGCGGACTTAGTAATAAATTTGCAAGGGATTTTGGAGCTGATTCGTGCTGCAAAAAATGGGGATGTTATAGGAAATGGGACAGCGGGTTCTTCTTTCTCTACTGGGGACCTTGCCAAATGCAAGCACTCTAGACCTGGAGATAGCGATGACGTGCTAGACATGAAGAACACAAACGGTGGTGAACCCCCATGGAGCTTCTTCCTGCTAGGAAGTACAGTCACTGCAACAATTATTTCTGAGTGGAAGACCCTGGTGTAAGTATCAGGGTCAGGCCTTTGCTTATGGTGAAGGTCTGTGCGGAGCACTGAGCGATGGAGCAGGCATGGCCCCTTCAGGTCCTGGAATGAACTGAGTGGAGCAGGCTTAGCCTGGTAGCCTTGGTCTAAATTAGGAGATGATTGAACGGGAACAAGCAGCAAGCCTGTGAAAGACTGGTCTTTGTATTTGCAGTTATTCCCCATGCTGTAGTATTAGCAGTCCGGGAACTTAAGCAAATGTTGTTTTCACATTCCTCTGATTAGGAGCAATGCTCAGAGCGCTACCTGGCTCTCTTGGGCCAGGTATGGGAAAGCCTGTGGGCAGCTTGATTCACATTCACTTGCGACTCCTGGGCTGCTCTTGATGACGGACGGATGCCGTTGAGGTATTTGGCAGTAGTACATTCTGCTTCTGTCGAAGCACTGCTTGCCTTCTGGAATGCAGAATTGTGTCTGCTCCTTTTCAGTGCAGCCTGTAATACTGTAGTATTCTGTATCTAATCCTGTAGATGGGGGATACCGGCTGGGGATGCTGGGAGTCCTAGCACAGCACACCCGGAGGGCACCATGTTGGGAAAGGATTAGTAGGGTAAGATAAAAGTGCATTTTAATGGCATTGGTTCTTGCTGCTGTGCTATTTTTCTCCCTCCTTTTGCTGTTCTGGTGTGGATGGGAGGAGAGTTCAGCCGGGTGCTTGTAATGTCACTTCTGCAAATATTTTTCCCTGCAGGCTGGAGAACTTGTTAAGATGGCCTTGGGTTCATTTGGGGGGCAGAAAAAGCAACCCAAACACCCCAAGGGCTGCCTGACAAAGGGGCATGAGGGATAGGAGGGGGACATATTGCCTTACATCTGGAAGCAGCCAAATAAGTTTTCTGGTCACCCAAGTTCCTTGTGCGTCAAAAGATTGGTATGTACTCCGGTTGTTGCTTAATGCTTGATTAGGTTTCTTCTCGACTGTGGCTGATGAGGGTGGGCTGGCCCTCTTCAAGAAAATATTGAGGGCCCAAAGAGATGATGAATGGACGAGCTGTGGAGCTTCTGTGCTAGAAGTAGCCAGCTGTGAAAGGAGATGATGGAAGAATCCGCGCCCCGCGAGTAGCAAGGCTATTCCCTACGGGAAGGGAACCTTTGCAAGATCCAGTGCCAGAGTGGCAGCATTTGTCCTGCTGTCACCAGAAGACACGTCGGGAGCAGTCTGGCGACGCTGCCAGTTTTGTAAATATTTTTCTGTTAGCAGAAATGTTGTGGAGATGGAGTGTTCCACTCCCAGTGTTGTGTAGCTTTAGACAAAGGCGCTGCATCTTTCATCTTCTCACTGACAAAACGAAGGGATAATTTGACTCCTTGCTCTGTGTCAAGCAGATCTCTCCCTTTCACTCCCCTCTCCCCCCGCATCCTTCCTCCTTTTATAAAAGTACACAAATGGGCATATAGCCAATACATAAATGCATAAAATTAAGCAGGTGCCTGTGCACGAATTTGCCCTCACATCTTATGGCTACCCCCATGGGACCATTTATTGCCTGGCACCAAAACTGCAGTTGGCACTGAAATGGAGAGGACATTAGCCGCTGGCATCCCTTGTGTCCTAAGTAGGATGCTAAGACTATACATCTTCACGTAAGCTTCCCCATAATGCAGGAAAGGCTACGAATTGATCACAGCTGCTCATTCTTGCTGGAAACTTTCCATTTGGCTTACTGGAAAGCCGGATTTTCAAGGCCACACGCTAGAAGAAATGTCTGTTCCGGTGCTCAAAAGCACACGAGGCGCTTGCCATAATGGGCAGTCATTTGTCACACGGTGTGGCTTCTTTTCTTTCCCGGCTTCAGTGAGCCAACTGCTGGCCACTGTCCGTCACCTGTTTCAGGGCAGTGGCAGGAAAAGTCACTGAGCAGTGAAAAGAGAGGAGAAAGGCATTTTTCAGATTAGGGTTTGAGTTGATAAAATCCAGGTCCTTGTGAATTTCCAGGAGACTTGCGACAAGCCTGGAAGGGGCAGACCCAGCGACCAGTCAGCAAGAACACACTCAGTGATGCCTCTGTGTTCAGTGTAATCTACACAGATTCTGTCTGCAGGATTGCAGTTCAGGGTAAGCCCCGTGTTATGCCTAGGATTAGTAAAACCCGGGTCCCTGGGCAGACACAGAGGCCTGGAAAAAGCCTCAGCCAGGCAGAAGGAGTGAGCAGTCCACAAGGACAGCCGGAATAATTCTTTAGGTGTGCTATCTGAATCCGGTGGGATTCAGATTCGGGTTAGGGTTTGGTTCAAGTTAGGGTTAGTGTTAGTGAAACCTGTGTTTGCCTGCATTTCCAGAATCCTGGAAATAGGCTCGGTTGGAAAGAAAAGGTGAACGATCAACAAGAATACCCCAAGTGCTGCCCTTGTACATGTTGTTGGAATGCACAGGGATGATGCGATGTGTCCAAGTTTGGGAACTGCTTCAGGTTAGGGCTAGGCTTATGAAAGCTTGGCTTTGTCTGCTTCCCCAGAGGCCTGGAATTAACCTAGATTGGACAGACAAAGTGGCAGGCCTGCAAGGCCATTTTGTGGCTTGCCGCCTGAAAGCATGAGCCTAGATTTGGGAGACAGAATGAGCTGGCAAGTCTAAGATCTACATGGAGCGCGATTTGAGCTTCATGTTACAATTAGAGTTAAGCTTTGGCTTAGACTCACAGTTAATCAAGCATGGGACCCTGTGCGAGTCAAGGGCTCCGGGTCAAGCCTAGAATTGGTAAACAAAGTGAGTAATGAAGCAAGAGACTTTGTTTCCTCTGTATCTGCACAGAGAAGCTTAAATTCCTGTTTAACACACTATCTGGCAACATTTCTCTCTCTCTCTCTCTCTCTCTCTCTCTCTCTCTCTCTCTCACACACACACACACACACACACACACACACACACCCCTCTTTTTTTCTTCCAGTGCTGAGAAAGAAGACAATGATGGCATAGTGTTCTGTAAAATAGCTTTTCCCAAGCTTGTGCCTTCCAGCTGTGTTAGACCCCACCCCAAATGGTCCCCTCTAGATGACCTTGCCCACTGGGCTATTTGGGAGATGCAAGTCTCATGTGTCTGGAGGATGCCAAGTTGGGGAATGCTGTATTAGACTCCGTTGGCTATAATATTGTCGAAAGCTAAGGTAGACAAATAGCCCTGGATACAGAAGCAGAATCAAGACCAGAGTCCAGTGTGGCGAGTGACTTCTCCTCAGCCTTTGCTGGGTCTTGTGGGGTGTGCTCAACAGGTTGTGTTCTGCTTCTGTTTTGCAGATAACGTTTTTCATGCTGCTGTCAGCCGTCTGCGTGATGCTGAACTTGGCCGGTTCCATTCTCTCCTGTCAGAATGCTCAGCTGGTGAACTCCTTGGAAGGGTGTCAGCTGGTGAGTACCGCAACATACATGCTTTAAAATCATCATCAGTTCAATTTTAAACAGATATGACCAAAAAGAGGAACTCCAAGAATCAATGCAGAATTCCAATCTTAAAGGCTGTTTTTAATATTTATTTCCAAACCCTTTTCTTAAGGGTTTAGGCTTATGCCTTGGGTTGACCAAAAAGGGGAATTGGATTCATCAGAACTTAAAGGATCTCTTGCATACTTGTGATCTAAAGATCAGGGTTTTGTGGAGTTCTGTCTCTAAGGTAGACTGTGATTTGCACCATTTTAGAACGGTTAATACAGTTGGCAGAAATAAGTAATCCGAATGGGATGGTGTAATGTGGTGTCCTGCAACTGCAGGGGGTTGAACTCAATGGCCTGCATGGCCCCTTCCAACCCTACTGTTCTATGATTCTAAGTACCTTCCAGCCATGTGGTTCTAGCACGATCTCTGCAGAATGAGGCAGTTGAATGTTCACTCTCTTGGTGGATTCCCAAGGAGAAGAATTCCTCTTGTTCCTCATTATGCCCTTATGCATTAATTGCGAGTACCCTGGGGGCTTCCTAGGGAAGCCTGTGTGTGTGTGCCATTACTCAGCCAATAGGAGCAGAGCACGTGATGATGCATGTGTTGCTAGGGAAATGTGGGTAGTTGAGATCAGCCATCCGTATGGCTGTCCTTTCATGGGACTCTATAGCTGTTCTTCACCATCAAAGATAAACTGCAATTCCCAGGTCCAGACATCACAAGAAGCCATGGTGAAGCATGGGAACCTTGCAACAGGCCATGGCATCCCTCCAGGGTTTCAGGAAGCCCAGCGTACCGTGCTGAAATGCTGGGTTCTGATGACTGGGTTCATGATAGACCAACAGGGGTAAAAAATTACCAGGATTTCTTGTGCTGTGCCAACCTGGCCAGTAAGTACAAGTATCGAAGTTCATTTTCCGGGCCAAGCTATTACAAATTTCAGCAACTTCCCTGGCGGCAAGGGCATCAAGTGTAGCTGCAAGCTAAATTTCACATTTTGATGTGAATAGCCCTCCAGTGCCAAGGCTGCAGGCTTTGGGGAGTTCAGATGAGTTTATTGCCCAACTTTGAAATGGAACCTTTGTTTAATTGGAAAGGGAATGGTGAGGAAGTGAACTCTTTATCATTCCCATGGCAAATGAGTTCCTCAGTCATGGGTGAAAACATGCAAAAGCTTTAAAAGATGTAACAAACATGATTACAGTTTAATCAGGGGTCTTCTTGGTCTTTAAATTTAATGAGGTGTATAAATCGGTAAGATGATAGCATCGGAAATGCAGTTCAACAGGGGAAAATTTGAGGAGAAGAAACGCTGGGGAAATTGCAACATAAATCAAGCTGATTGTGTTAGGGGTTCTTTTCTCATCCCAAAGTGGTAAAAATTACTTTTGGAGGATAGTTTTATTGATTCAGGCTTAAATATGGCAACTCTAAATATAATTAATACCTTCTTGTAGTCACAAAAGAGAAATTAGGATTATTAAGCCCTAGGAAATGTTAGTCCATTTGTGCTGTGAAATCTGGTTATACCTTACTCTTTTTCCCTATTTATACTTTTAATTAAATGTTGACTCTCTTATAGCACTTCTCTCTTCCACTGGTCTGTTTTCCTTTGTGGCAAGTTAGATATTTGTTCTCCTGCAGAGCAGTGGCTGGCCAAGAAGGGGACTTTATGAGGCTCAGTTAGATGCATGTCATTCATTAATGGCAATCAGGCTCCATCTTTTAGGACCTTCCAATGGCGTGAATGCATCTGGCATTAATCTGAAACTGGAGACAGAAGCTCAGCATAATATGCCTCTCCACATTTCATATTTCAATCAGGCAATTTGTGCACAGCTCTGTGCGTGCCTCCCTTTAAAACTGGATCCAAGATATAAAGGGAAATGTTCCCCTCTCCGTACTTATATGCAACTTTGCAAAGGTGATAATTTAAAGCTTGCTTGATCCCCAATGCTTCAGAAAAATTTGTAAAAATGTCAAAGTAGCCAGCTAAAATCAAGCAAAGGTGACAAATATTGTTAGCCACTTAGAGAGTCCTGCCAGGGTTCTGAGCAGCATATAAATTTGAAAATAAATGAATACAATAAAGGTGGCACATTCCAAATGAGTGAGTCAGTGAGACGTTCAGAAATATTTCATTTTATTTCTGCTGCTCTTAGAATGCACCACTTTGGGGCATGCAGCTGGGAAAGGACGAGATTCTAGGTGCTTCAAACAAAAAGAGATTATGAAGAGTGCAAAAGGATCTCTTCCAACTGGGCAAATGGGCACCAAAATTGCAAATGTAGTTCAATGTAAGGAAGTGGTATGTCTGGGAGCAAAACAACCCCGAGTTAACTTTTACTCCGATGGGATCTCAGCTGGCGGTGACTGACCAACTAAGATATTTTGGAGTAGGCATCTTGATGAAAATGTCAACCCGCTGCCCAGCTACTGTGAAAAAAGACAGCTTCCACGTCGGGCGTATTTAGGGATGGAATTGAAAACAAAACTTCAAATGATTCTGCACTCTTTGTACAATGTGGACCGCACAGTGTGTTGCCACACCTATGAAAGGGCATTGTAGAGTTGCAAAAAGGGCAGCGAAGGGCAAATCGAAGGATCCAGGACACTGGCAGAAGTCTCTGTGAGAAAAGGATGCCCCGTCCGGGATTGCTTTGCCTAGAGAAAGGGCAAGGGCAGGCAGGCATAATGGAGGTGCACAAAGGCATTGGTCCCCCCCCCCCTTCCACGGGGCCAGAACGCCAGGGGGCCAGGATGCCAGCAGCCACAAAGCTGCTGGGTGGATATTTAGGATGCAGGGAATGAAGCATGGGATGCACTTCCACAAGGCGGCCCCCAACCTGGGTGGCTTTGCAAGGGAACTGGGCGAATTCCTGGAAGGCGGGCGACCAGTGGCGAGAGAGCCAGGCGCTCCCAGTGTTGGAGGCAGTTGTTGGGGAGCATGGGCCGGGCCTGTGGCGACACTCGTGTTTTGCTTGTGCCCTTTCCACGGGAGCATTTCGTTGGCTGCAGCAGGGTCAAAATGCTGTATGAGACGAACTCTTCTGCAGCTCTTCTGGTACAGGCCAGAAAGAGTCGCACAGTTTCCAGAGGCTTCCAAGTCATGGTCATTCTGCTCTTGCCGATCTTCGTGTTCGTATGTTGAATCACACCGGAGGTCCTTTTCAGACCGAGACACCTGCCTCTGTCAAGGTGCGAGATATTGGTGCTCTCTGTATGCCACACAATTTGGTGTTGGAAGCAGGTATATTTCTCTCCCTGCATCTTTTCTTTCTGTCAACCCTGCCTCCTTGTTAATTAACCGGGCAGATGGGCAGTGCTTGTAAATGCAACGCCATTTCATTCTCTGCTTAAACACCGAAATAGAATTTTGCTCAAGAAAAAAATGACCTGCTTAAAGAACGGTGGAAGGATCCAAATTTGCAAAGAAGGATGCGTGGTGGACTCTCATTGATCAGGGGGCCCAGAGACCTTGGGCTTGCATATCTGGATATCCCAGGGCCATGGTTTGGGCTGTATGACAGCAGCCTTTCCCAGTTGAGACCTTCCATATGTGTTGGATGACACTTTCCATCCTGGCTAGTGGCACGCTAGCTGAGGATCATGGGCCCTGCAGTTCTCCCAAGCTTGGGAAGGGCTTCCCAAACAACATAGCTTACTTGAATGGAACGGCACTGGAGCTTGGCTACTGGGAATTGGAGGCACCACCTCCTGGGCATCATCACCCTGATGGGCCGTGCCAGATTCTACAGATTTGCAGAGGTGGGTGGAGAGAGCCTTTGGGAAGCAGTTTGGGTGGGAGAGGAGAGCTGAGTCCTTCACTGCTTCTCCACAGTTGGTCTTCTCCTGGTGGGGGCTGCTTTTGATTGCAGGGGCCCTCTTGGAGAAAATGGCTGGGGATAAGAGGAGACTCCGAGGGGATCTGTTGGCGACAAGCAGGTGTGTGAGGGGGTGTCACACGGAGGTGGGAAGAGACCTGTTCTCCCCTGCAGAGGAAGGCAGGACGCGCTCCAACGGAGCAAAGCTCAGGGAGCCAAGGCTCCGTTTAGGTGCCAGGAAGGACTTCCTGACAATGAGGACCCTGAGGGTGTGGAATGGGCTCCCACGAGGGGTCGTTGAGGCCCCATTGGTGCGAGTGTTCAAGGATAAGCTGGACATGCACATGGTGGGCATGTCATGAGCGGAGCCGGCTGGTGCCGGAGGTCAGACTAGATGGCCTGGGAGGCCCCTTCTGACTCGCTCTGTGGGCAGGGGAAACATCCAGCTTGCCCAGCACAGGTAATTAACCTTTCTCTTGCTATTGCCATGCCAATGAAAATTATCTGCAATTAACCCCAGCAGAGCCGTTTCCATTTACTGCAGCTATTCCCAAATGCTCTGTTTTAATCAACAGCCGCCAATCACCCAGCCTTTGAAAAGCCCCAGTCCTTTAAAAGAAGATGTCCAGGTTTGTGGCCACCACACTGTATGGCAGAAGTAAATTATAGTGCTATTTCCGATACAGATTTACGTGTCTTAAGGCAAGGATAGCTAAAGGACGCCTCTTCCCAGACCAATCTGCCCATCAGAATTAGTCATCAGCTAAGGGTTGCAGTGAATCTGTTCTGCTCACATTCCGTGGTTTGTCTTTCATGGTTTTCAGTTTTTATTCTGTCACCTGATGGAATATCACATTTTTCTCTGCTCCCTAAAGCATATTTCCAAAAGTGTGCAGATTCCCCCACCAAAGTACATTTCCAGTGTTATGTTTTGTCCTGTGTTTTTATATTTTTCAGTGGCTAAATTTGTGTAGAATTCTGGGAAAAAGCCTTAACAATTCTAGAATTCTACAAAAATTATTCCATAAACCCGAGCAAGCTAATTTGCTATAGAATTTGCAACTTGGATTCACAGAAATCCAAACTCATTTGAATCCCCACACAGGACTGGGTTTTTTTTCCAGTGGTCACAACTTTCCCAAAGTCTCT